ACACTGAGGAGAGTATTTCCTCCTCCTAAGGAAACGGAGTCTTTTCCATCTTCTTTCACCCTTTGACGGCCAGGCTCTGCGGCTAACAGAGCTGTACTCCAGGCAAACCAACCGACTGGATGCTTTCAAAACACACGCTGATCACCAGGCTGGGTTGACTGTGAGAATGGAGAGTTAGAGGGCAAAGCGGTGGCCCAGGTTTCCTCTCCTCGTCCACACTCCCCACCCAGGTTCATGGTGAGAATGGTGAGGGCCCAGAGCTGGGCTAAGAGAGAGAACTCAGCCCCACGGCAACTGGGAGGCCGATGCATTGTTCATCTGGATGGTGATGCTCTCCTTGGCTGAGTAGTTGGTAAGTGTCCTGTGGTTCAGGAGGTTTTCCCTCCCAGGCTCATCAAGGTCAGGTCCTTCCACCTGCTAAGCACAGGGCACGGGCTCCGGTGGACCTTGTGACGATACACTTGTGGTGATAATTACGATAAGCAATGCGTACCGAGCCCCGCACAGAGAGGAGCTGAAAGGAACATACAACTGAGGTTACTACCATCTTTGGAAGGAATCAGAGGAAGCCATGGCCTTGTTGAAACTCCCACTGCGGGGCTTCCCAAGCAGTGTTTCCAAGTCCATCATTCCACCCGCGATTGCAGAACTACACACAGGCTCGCAGGGTTTTGCAGAGGAAGACACTTAATAGCCATCACCTAGATTTCAGCTTCTCGAATCAATATTTCGAAGGAACCTGTATCATAAAATACGTGGACCCCAGAAAAATGATTCCATGGACCAAATAGTTTTAGGACAGATTCCAGGTGCAAGAAAAGGCAGGTTTCTTTCCTACAGGGTGTGGCAGCTTCGAGATGGCCCCAGATCCTGTGACACTGCCGGGCCCGTGTCCTCACCCCCGACGCCGGCAGGCTCTGTCTCTGACAGAATCCAGCAGGAGTGAGGTTGTGCCTTCGCTGGGCCCAGGCCTTCTGTGGCTGGTGGCTGCCATGTCTGGCCTCCTGAGGGTCTCCTGGCAGCCACCCCATGAGGGAGCCTCCTGTGACTGTTGCCCCTGCCAACATCTGGCTGCAGTGGCTTGACACCCAGTGAGAACGGCCTGGCTGAGCCAGTCAATCTCAGCACCGAGAGAGACGGTAAGTGATTGTTTTAAGCCACTAAATTGGAGGTGGTTAATGTGCTGTGTAGCACATAGGCAACCAATCACTACTTCTTAAATGAATGACTGAGTGACATAGATCTGCTTCTTCAAGAGGGGATACAGCTTGCCATCCTTCCTAAATGTGAGACGAATCATACAGGACAGGGCTGATGGAAAACTAGTTCGAGAAACAGTGAACGAGAGGGGTAAAGCGTAGTCTGGGGCAGTGGTCGGCAAACTGCGGCTCGGGAGCCACATGCGGCTCTTTGGCCCCTTGAGTGTGGCTCTTCCACAAAAGACCGACTTCTGCACATGGGCCACGAAGTTTCAATCGCACTGTACGTGCGCGCCCGCATGTGGTATTTTGTGGAAGAGCCACACTCGAGGGGCCAAAGAGCTGCATGTGGCTTGCGAGCCGCAGTTTGCTGACCACTGGTCTGGGAGATAGCGATCTAGGGTAACCCTGTATGTTACAGGTTAGAGAAGTGAGGTCCAGATTGGTGAAGAAAGCCGCCCAAGGACACCACGCTAATCGGTGGCCTCCCCTGTGAACTCCTTCCTTCCCGCTGAAGTGAGGAGTCGGGACAGAATGGTGCCACTCACGCCACCGCACATTAGCTAACTGCCCGTGTCAGGCTGCTCACCAGCGAGCCCTCTCTTTCTGCTCCACCAGGTCTGTGTCCAGCGAGCTGTGCTCCCCGAGACCTCTCTTGAACGGGAGACTCCCGGAGAGGACAGAAGCGCATTTATTAGCCTGATATTCAGGCTAAGCTCAGTTCTAAAAGCAGCAGCATCTATGCAAGCATGTCAAACTCGTGGCTGGCGGGCCACAAGTTTGACATGCTTGGTCTACAGCAACATCTTGGGCCTTCGGTGTTAAACCCTTCGCGTGATAAAAATCCTGGCTTAAAACGGAAATGTCTGAAGATGGAATTTTCAACTGATCTAGATATCGATGAGGGACCCAGATTTTAAAACCCCTCCAGTCTTATGTGACGAGTGCCGTTTCTCTTCCTCCATGTGAGAGGTACATAGTATGAGCAGAAGTTTGATTCTGTTCTTAAAACAATATAGTGAAGAATGTTAATACAGGTCAAAATCTGGGATCAAAATTTTTACTTTTCAAAAACCATTCCAGCCTACGCCACAGCTTCTTAATCAAGTCTCCACATCCAAGAGCCACTTCAATAGTTGAAAAGAAGTTTTATCTAATTATCTTCTTTGCCCACTTTGAACTGACCAACCATGTGCCTCTCTCTGGTTTTATCAAAGGGGCTGCCAGGACATAAGACACCCCGTTTTAAGGAAGCTTTAGTTAGCAGACTTAAAATTGATCACGCATTTTAGTTTCAGTAACTTGCAATTTCTACACCCTTTGATAATCCACTTTAAAGAACAAACTGTCTGTAATGACAAGGCTTAAAAGAGACGACCTTTCTGAACAGAATATGAAAGCTGAGAAGAGACAGTTCTTGAAAGGAAACCACGAGTTAAAATGACCTTGCGTTCTGAAACTTTTCTCCCCCCAGTTTTGATGTTTTACCTTTCCTTTCTACTCGGAGAAAGACCTTCGAGGATGGCGATGCACTTCAATAAGAGGGCTGTTAATTGTTCATTCAAACTCAGCTCTTCTTCTGCACTTTCTCTGCAGGTTCCCTTAATGAGGCTGCCCACCACTATAAGCATATGCCTTTTCTGAAAAACTCACTATTAATATGTGACTTTACAGGATCATGTTTGAATCTGAGCTGTTGACTTTGCGTCACAACTCAATTCTTTTGTACAAACTCCGAAGCAAGCCCGTCCATCCTCTCTCCCCCCTCAGTTCTCCTTTCCCCCCCACTGTGCCCTGGAGGGCTGCCCACTGAGGAGCTGACTGTTGTGTGGGGAGGTCAGAGCCCTGCAGGGGCTCCCTGCGTGGTGACACAGGAATGGCAGACTCCAACAGACACGTAGGTGATTGACAGCTAACGTCATGGTAACCCTTCCCACGCCCCATCCCGCAGCTGGACAGGAACACACACCGAGACCACTGTGACCCCACAGCTCTCCTTCGGCTCAGCTTGCTGCCAAGGCCGTACCAACCACTACCTGTTGACAATCGCGTGTTGAGATGGAAAAAGCACAGGTGGACGACCCAGGTGCAGCAGCCAATAGGAACTTGAAATGGAACTAAATTAGGTCCTTGTGATGAACAACTGATCTCCCAGCAGATGAAAGAAAGGATGAAATCTTAGATGGTTGTATAATAAGGCACGGTGTTTATAATTTAATTCCTAAGCACTTGCCTTCTCTTTCAGTAGCCATTTATGTATTCAGTGCTCGATTCTGTAAGGAATTTTAAACATGCCAAGCGTCATTTTCCTTTCTCTTCCTTTGTCAGAGGACCTTCACAGAAACATTAGTGTCAGCCCCATATTCCTATCACATACAATCAAGCCGACCTAAAGTTTCAGCCGTCTACTCCCAGATGTATAAGACACGCTTCGGCGAGGAAACAGGATCTGGGGAATGTCAAAGGTTCACCAGTGTTTGTAATTTCATAACCCTTGAAATAAGGAAAAGAAAGAATAGCAGGCAAACTTCCAAAACACCTACTGATATTTACTCATGGAAAACAAATATTCTGGAGTGGAAGTTCCAAGTCCAGCACACAATGCAACTCACAAAGGTTTTCACGTCACGCCGCTAACAACCGTACTAGTGAAATCTGGTGAGCTTCAACCTGCTTTTCACAGTCTGTAGAGAAGCAGTTAAATTAATCACGTGGCCCTAATCTTTCCCTGCGAGTACTAAATCCTAGTCTGGGATCATGGTCCTTATTGGACAGGCAGTTTTAACAGCATCTGCTATAATCTTGCTGTCACCTGGATAATTTTTAAGCTGGACAATGATTTATTGTATATGCAAGAAAAATCTCATCTTTTAAAGGGTGGAAACACATTTCTGGAGGAGGAGTCAGGGTGAACATGACCAGGCAGAGAGCCGACGGGCACCCATGACTTCGTGCCAGAATGCCAGGCCTCCCACTGTTGGCCGCGAGGCAGCGTTTAGGCCCATGGCCCTGGCTTTGAAAGTGGCTTCCTTATCGTCTCCATGTCTCAGTTACAGTGCAAAAGAGGGTAATTAATCCTTGGGCAGCAAACAATAGAACTGGGCGTGGGAAAGAGAAAAGCATTTTGAAGAAGTGTAAATAAAAGTCTGGCCTGGTCCTTTATGGCAGCCCCGACGATGACAGCCCCGCCCACGGTCCAGACGTTTAGTGCCTCAAAGGGCCCTGCGCACACCACAATGCAGTCCAAAGCATAGTGAGCATCCGTCCACCGCAGTTCACAATTTCCTCTGCAAATCAGGGCTAACCAATCGCACTGAACAGCTCACTGACCTCTGGCAGTGCCAGAAGCATCCACGCCTGGGAGCAAGACCACATTACCTCACCGTGAAAATGGGATCCATCGGACCCATCGCAGGTCATGGTGCCAACACTTGCCAGTGTGTTGGGTGTCCTTGCCTATGTGCTCCCACTAATATCATAATGAAAACCACCACCATGAAAGAGAGATCAAGGAAGTCACAATAAAACCATAGCTGCTCTTAAAATTCTTACACTCTTCTGCCCCTGGATCAGCTTAGAGACCAACATGACAAATACTTGGACAGGCAACCCAGGGGGTTTTAACCTAAATAAACACACTGCTTATGGATGTGATCCTTGCCACGACATAAGGTATTTTTTTTTTCCCCCCCAGAGTATAATGTGAGATTGTCAGTACTTTCTAGGGAAAATACCATGCAGATGTCATATTTGTTTTAGCAAACGAGATACAACAAAATGTAGAAATAAAATTGACAAGTAGAAAACAATGCTTTAATAAAATATGAATATGAACATGAAAACAATGTAAACATGTTAAAAATTTTGATATGATACTACAAAACGTGATTTTGATCATATGCAACAGGTAAAATTCTATGCGATAGCATTAACCAGACAAATTATAGGAAATCATTTCTTTTCCCAATATAAGCAATTCTCAGAACACACTCAAACACACAGTATGAAGATAAAAGAGTGTTAAAAAAATAACTTAGGCAGACACAAATTAAACCACCCTAGTAGTATATGAGTGATGCATGTTTTTATGATCTTAATTACACTTAAGTATTAAAAAGTGCCACTGATCTCACAGTTTACGTCACACTATCCAAATCTTCAAACCTGCTAGCAGTCCACAGAACAGCCTGGACACGGAAGCCATCTATGCTCTGTTACTCGGGTGAATCCTCACAGTTACCTGGAAATCCGAAATCTCAGTTAGGACCTGCTCTAGGTCTAATGGGCATGTCAGTTATAAAATATGTTTTCATTCAAGAGGAGCTGGACGGGCCCTGGATAGGCTCTGGCTGGTGTTGCTCAGTGGTTGGGCATTGACCTGTGAACCAGGGCATATACCTGGGTTGTGGGCTCGATCCCCAGTAGGGGGCGTGCAGGAGGCAACCAATCAATGATTTTCTCTCATCATTGATGTTTCTATCTCTCTCCCTCTCCCTTCCTCTGAAATAAATAAAAATATATTTAAAAAACAAAAACAACAACAACAAAAAACAAAAGGTGGTGGTGTGATTCTCAGTCAGGGAACATACCCAGGTCAATCCCTGGTTGGGGCGTGTGTGGGGGACAACCAAACAATGTTTCTCTCTTTATCTCTCTCCTTCCCTCCCTCCCTCCCCCTTCTTCTCTCCCCAAAATCAATAAAAACATATTTATAAAAAAAAGAGGAGCTGGATGGAAGGAGGCTAAAAATAATATCTGATATCAAAGTGTCATCATCTGTGCCCATGAGGAGTCAACTCCTCTCTACACCAAGCAACAGCATCTTTTGAGAAGTTCATGATGCACAGGGTCTTACTTTAATGTAATGCTATATAATGGCTCAGTCTTTCCCTGCAGAGAGGGGGGCAGTGTGACTACATCAGCAGGTAAACGTGGTCTATGTCACAATGTCTCTGGGAACCTCTGACAGAGGGTCCCGTGACTCCCTGAGAAGTACACCTGGGGCACTGAGTCGCTGGGAGTGTGGTGACATCACTGAATCACTGATCTCCCCCCTCCCCACTCCCCCACTCTCCCGCAGTTAGTGGCCCCTCCTCTTTTATCTGTTCTGGTCTGAGAACACCTGTAAGAGCTCCAATCGCCCACGGGACACAGGACTTGGGAGATGTGGGCTACCACACTAAGAATTGCGTCATCTCGCTATCTTAAAAGGATCACACTGCCTCCTTAATCCTGCAACCGGGCTGCAAGACAACTTCTTGTCCTGACGACCCAAGTGAGGCCCGGGCTTGCAGACGCCTGCGGATTCTCTCATCTCCTTCTGATCGTCCTGACTAAGCACTGTGATTACAAGAGGTGGTGACTTCTCAAAGACAGGCTCTTTACTAAAAATAAGCCTTTGTTTTTCAAAATTGATATGTTTAAGAATGTTAATGAAGACCTGACTGTCAAGACAGGAGACTCACAGGTGCAAACCACGCAAACCGATCAGCGATCAGCAGGCATTCTGATCACGGCCATACCTTCTGCCTTGGTAGGTGGTCAGCTCTTCCTGAAGGATGGACGCTCTCTTTTGCAGAAAGTTCACCTGGAGAAGAGGCCTTGTATAAGAGGAGCTGATGTGGCTTAAATAGCAATAATGTGCAAACAGTGTGGTTCCCAGATGAAACTCAGAGGATTTGCTGGATGTTACGTTGTGTTTCTACATCGGATCACATCACGTCCCCACTGAAAGCCCACCAGAGGCTACAGAATCAAGTTCAGATGCCTACGCAGAGCCATTGTGATCTGGCCTCTCTTTGCAGCTCCATCTCCCCTCATGCCTTCCCACCATCCCTAACTTGTGTACCTGTTGACACAGGCTGTTCCTCTTTTGGAATAGTTGGCTAACTATCTCCTATCCATCCTCCACTATGTGGTTCAAACATCAAACATCACTGAACTCTTCGGCTCCTCCCAACTGCTCCCGCCCCAGCCTGGGCACCCTCGGGGCCCCTCCTCGGCATTCCTGTGCTCTACTCATCAGCACTGCTTGCACGGCCTTGTGGTTGTTTTCATATCTCTCCCTGAGACCTTGAGCTCTCGGAGGGTGAGGATGACATTTCCTCGTCTCTGGCCCCCAGTTCCTTTCACAGGGCTGGGCGTGGAGCTGGTATTCCCCAGCTGGTGAATGAGTGAATGAGTGAGTGGAGAGAAAATTACGGCCTTCTGGAAACCTCAATCCATCCTGGGGATTCCCTGAGGTTGAAGACAGCATTTTGTAGTGGAAAGAGCCTGGGTTTTGTCTGGAGTTATGCCAACTCGGGTTCAATTCCTGCTTTGGCCTTTATGGCTCTAGGAAAGTTACTTAAAGTCTTGATGCCTCATTTGCAAAACGTGGTTAATGACAGACGCCTCCCAAGGTCATGAGGATGAGGTGGAGCGACTATCAGAACTGCCTCCCTAGTGCAGAGCTCACAGCTGGGGTGGTGGGGGGTGGAGGAGACTAGGTGGCTCAGCATATTCTCTGAAGTCAGACCTTTACAACGTGGTTTGATTAGTTTGAAGCATAAATTTCTATTATAAATTCAAGAGCACCTTCTAGGACCAAGCAGAAACTGTTTGGGGATAACGTGTACCATGGCTTGATGGAATCAAGAGCCAGTGGTATTTGATCATTTTGGAATTGTTTACTCTCGTCTCTTTGGTCTGAACTGAAACCATGGCAACGCTTGCTTCGGAGACATAGTTAAGCAGGAGAGTACAGCTGGCAGAACAGAGAAAGTGCTCACACGCGAGGAAAGCAGTCTCTAAGTGGGTCCATAGCCAAGCGCTCCCTCGGTTTCCCTTAGCTGTATTATCACCGTCATCTTAATTTTATCCAATTGCTCACATGACCCACAGGACAATGATAATGTTGACAGATGCGAGGATCGCACATTTCAGCTTCCCTTCCCCCATGGTGCTTTGCAATCGGAATTCCAACAATTTTCAAAACACACAGGCACCTGTGCTTCCCACTAAATGTGCTCGCTCTGCGGGCGTGCCTCCCACGCAGCTGCCAATGCTGAGGCCCAGGCAACGGCGCTCTCTCTCTCTCTCTCTCTCTCTCTCTCTCTCTCTTTGGGTCAACATCCAGTTTGAAATGATATGAATGACAACAGAAGCCCTGCAGGTGGGTATCAGATTTCTTCCTTCCTTTCTTTTTTCTAAAAAACACTCTTCTGAAGGTGCCAGGCCTTACCTAGCTGACCCTATGGAAGCTCTCCGACAAGGTTAATGGGTAAAACCACACTCCAGGGAGCTTTTCACCTAAACAAAGAGGAGGTAACCCTTCCTAGGCAGCACTCGCCTTAGGACCCATTTTTACGCAGGGCGAGCACAGCCAAACCTCTCAGCCACAGAAGCAGCAGTCGGCCAGCAGCACAGATAGAATGGACATTTCGTTTTCAGAGAAGAGGCTTTTTACTGAGGGAAATAGAAAAGCAACGGCTAAAATTTGCTCCACATTTTGTCTTGCACATGATAAATAGCTATGTGAGTGCCATCAAACTACATCATCTATTTCTGTTGAAAATACACTTACTGAGCACCTACTATGTGCCAGGCACCTTCCATGGCACAGGGAGCAAAGACATCATTCCCTCATGGAGCCTTTCCCCACAAAAATGTGGTCTTTAAAAAAAAAGTTTCTTAGATAAGTAACTTGCAAACCCACGGTTTGACTTTTCAGTTTCTGAATGGTGTCTTTTGAAGTACAGAGTTTTACATGTCGATGAAATGCAATTCATCTATTTATTTCTCCTGCTGCTGTAATTTTGGTCTCATCGCTGAAAAAATACCTTATTTAAGGTACAAAGATTTCCCTTTTTATCTGAGACTTTTTCTTAGTGTTTCTTTCTAAGAGTTTTACAGTTTGGGCTCTTACCAGTATGTTTAGGTCTCAGATCCATTTTGAGTTAAGTTGTGCATAACCTGTAAGGGCCTCAGCTTCATTCTTTTGCATGTGGGTTATCCAATTGTAAAAGCAACATTCTTTCTATCTTTTCCTCATTGAACTGTCTTGGAACCCTTGTTGAAAATTAATTGACCACAAATGTAGGCATTTTTTTCTGGACTCTCAATTCTACTCCATTGCTCTGTATGTCTCTTCTTTAACCAATGTCACACTGTCTTGATTATTACAGCTTTGTAGTAAGTTTTGAAATTGGGAAATGTGAATCCTCCAAATTTATTCTTATTTTCCAAAATGGTTTTTGGCTATTCTGGGTCCTGGCTAGTGTTTTAATCAATCTCAGCCATACAAAGATTCTGAGAAATACAGAGGGAACATAGTTGATGTATGAAAAAATATATGTTTTAAATTTCTAAGTGTGTTAGAAATGGGAATATGTGAACTCTTTCTCATGTTAGAGTTTTAAAAAGCTCAGTAGACAAGCAATATATAAAACATAGAGAAATATATATATATTCATAGGACTTTATAGAGGAAACTTATGTTGGAAGCTTTAAAATAACTTTAACTATATACATTTAAATTGGTTTTCTCGCTCATATTTTATTTTATAAATTACCAAGAACTACACATTTCAGCAAGAAATATTTAACCTAATTGTTTGAATACCTTGTCATTATTCTGCCTTGAATTTAAAATGCATTAAAATACAGCAGAATAAAAATACTCTGACTTCACTGTGCGTTGTTTCTCGCCACATGTACACACCCAGGAGTCAGCAATGTGCTAAGCGATGGCACTCTGGGCCTGGCACCAAGAATAAAAGGGTGAGGCTGTAGAGGAATGTAGACTAAATGAATAAAAGTGACCATACGTTTTCAATTTCAAGGGTGCTTTTAAGAAAATCTTATTGAGACAATGGGTTCTTAAACTAGTAAGACAAAAATGAAAAACAACAACAACAATTCCTTCTGGGTGCAGGCCATGCCGTGGCATCACATGGGTTTCTGGCTTCACTTCAGGATAGACGTTATGCGCAAGTGTCTTTTCCGGATAAATCCCCTACACCCTCGGGAATGCGGGATTCTGGTAATTACCTGTGACTTCAGGGAGGAAATGGTGTCTTCAAGTTCTTGTCTTAGAGAAGCTGGCATCAACCCTTTGAATTTTGTTTCGTATTCTTGTCGTATGTAAGTTATCTAAAGTGGAAAAAAAAAAAGACAGCTTATTTATTTATATACACAGAAACAATTGTTTTGACTTTAACAAATCCCAGAATAATACCTATTCATCACAAAGATAAGTCTGTTACACGTGGTCAAAAACCAGATAATAAAATAAGAGGAAGCACAGTACAAACTCAAAAGGTACCCAGCTTGTCCTTGTGAGTCTGGGAGGGACAGTACCTGTACCAGCAGTTTGTTTCTTTAAAACCCTTGGTGCCACCGTGTTCAGCGCTGGAGAAGTACAATACCTGCACTCTCTTCTCCATCACGATGCACACACTGGGCTAACCCCATACCTTTTCTTGACCAGGATGTGGGCCATGATCACAACACACTGTGATTGGAGGACAATCTGCAGCCCGTCACTGCTTTAAGACATGTCCCCAACAGGGCTAGGCACCTGGGCGCTCGACAGAATCCATATGGTTATGAAGATATGAATGAAGGATAATCTATACCACTGTCTCCAAGTCTCCGCACTGTGGGGAGACCAGAGTGCCCTCGTCACTGTGAGCGGCTCTAGTTCATGGGTTTCCCTCTCCCTCCAGACACAGTCAGCTCTGCGCTCAACAACTGATGGCCACAGGCTGGTAGGGCAGAGGTTGAGGGCTCATCCCACTCATCTCGCTCAGAGCTAAAGATAGAGACAAGTGGGGCAGGTGGAAGAGACATGCCCGGAGCAGGATGAAGAGGTCCATGAGTATGAGCATGAATGTGAGGGTGTATGTCTCGGTGTCTTTATCTAGCTAGCTATCATTCTTTCTTTTTCTTCCTCCTAATCTGAGACGCGATAGAATTTAAAAATCCATTGCATGGTGCTGTGTATGACTTAACTGAATATTAAAGCTGACTTGCAGTATATCTTGTAAATGATAATTCAGTGGACATATCTAGAAATAAAGGAATTACTATGAATATATGCATAACTAAATTCAGTTAGACAAGTCCATGGATTTACTGAGGATGATTTAAAATTACTAGTCTTTAATTCCTAGCTTTTTTTTTTTTTACTGACTGAATTAAGAAAGAAATGTGTTCTAATCATTTCATTCCCTACTAAAAGCCCATGGTGAACATGCTAGAATATAATTTTTCACTTTTTGGCAAAGTGTTTTTTTAATGTTTTAATCTTGTGATTTATACCTAAAAGAAAAGCAAATAATGAAACATGATATTTCCCACTGATGCAATATTTGATTTTTCCCACATTTTCTTCTTGGACTTAAGTCTGATAGTTACATCTGTCAGCTGACTCAAATGAAAGGCAAAAACGCAGGAAAACACATGCTTTATAAATCAGATCTTAAGGCCAACATTTATTGAGGGTTCACAGGCTACTATTAACTATATTTTTCTATCACTCAACATTGGCTCTGAAATTTTGAGCTACTACTCCTTTAAAAAGGATATGTGTCTGCTTGTAACCTTGTTTGTTAAGAAAGTCTGCCCACTTGCCTATACATTTGAAAGACTACTTGGCTGGGTATAAAAATTCTTCGATCCCACTTTCTCTCTATACTTAGAGACATTTTTTCAATGTCTTCTAGTATTACAGATAGCTATGGTGAAGTCTGAAACCAGGTTAAAATTTTTTCCATATTGAATATGACTTTCTTTCTCTACTTGGATGCCCATGTGATTTTCTTTCTTTTTTCTTTAAATATTTTTATTGATTTTTAGAGACAGGAAGGGAGAGGGAGAGAGAGAAACATCAAAGAAAGAGCAAAGCACCAATTGCCTGCCTCCTGCACCTGCACACCCCACCACTGGGATCGAGCCTGCAACCCAGGCATGTGCCTGACTGGGTTTGAACCAGCAATCTTTCCATGCACGGGACGCCACCAAACCTACTGAGCCACATCGGCCAGGACCCATGTGATTTTCTTTTTCCTTGATTCAGTAGCTTCACTGCAATATGTTTTGGTATTAATTATTCTGTATCAATTTTCCCAAGACATTGTGTGTGCCCTTTCTATCTTTAAATTCAATTCTCTGAAGAAAAGTTTCTTCTGTTAGAATTATTTGTATTCTATTATTGTTCTGTGTTCATATTACATATGGATCTTTTTCTATTTGCTTTTTTCTCCAAGAATACAAATTTTGCATGTATAGACTCTTCTTTGGTAATCTTCCATAATTATACTTTTATCTATTGTTTTACTTTCTTATAATTTTATATCTATTTTATATTTTCCTTTCATTTTGTGGGATTTCCTTTAGTCTGATCACTGTATTTCCTTGGATGTTTTCAGTTATAATTTTTCTATTTTTGTTTCTTCTAATATGGTTTCAATCTCGGTAATCTTTTGATTTTTGTCTACTATTTTCTCTAAGATCTGAGAGATCACTTTTCATCTCTGTCTGTTGACTTATATCCTCTTTAAACACATATCCCTTCTTTTTTCTTCTCTATCTCCCCCCAGCTTTTTCCTTGACAGAGAGATATGTGAGCGTGTTTTGTAAATGCTCTGACATTGTGAAGGACTGTTTGTTATAAAGAACTATACTTTGTCTGAACCTTCCCTCTGTTTCTTGGGTAACTTCCCATTTGATCTGTGTTTTTTATTAGCTTTTTTCTTACATTCCTTCTTTCTCTCTCAGTCTAGCAAGGACCTTATGCTAGTTCCCTTTTCTTTAAAAAAATTAAAACTCATTTTTGAATGGAGCCACCAATATTGAGGTAGGGAGAGTACTAGTAAGCTCTTCCCTCAGTTTTGAGTGCTCTGGAGGTCAAGCCCAGCACTTAAACCCTTTAGTTGATGCTTATAGTTTTCTTGACTCTTGCCCCCACTTCACTTTTCACATTTGATGGTCTCCCTCTATTGGAGGCTAGGCCACAGACAGCAGAAAATTGTGTGAGCAAGGTTGCTCTTTGATCACCACTATCCCTTCCATCACTTTTTAAATTCAGTATGCTATATTTCCCAACTTTTACTGAGGATCTAGGCATTTCTACTTCCTGTCTACTCCTTTCTTTTTAGCTTTTATGATTTCAGTGAATCTGAGTGAACTTAAAATGAGCTCTTTGAAAATCTAACATTACCTCACCTATAAGTGAGACTATCAATCAGAAAAATATTACAACTCTGAATCCTTAAACCCAAATCCTGAATTTAAAAATCATTATACCAAGCAGAACCCTGTTACTTTAGTAAAGTCATAGAAAACGGTAACCAATCTGGTTCACTCTGTTTGTAAGATGTTACCACCAGCAACCATTTATGGAGTATTTTCTATGTGCCAGATCCAAGTCTGAGTGTTTTAATAAGTGTGATCCTTCTGACAGCCAGGGAGTGAGCCCAGAGCCATAAGCCATGATTTGCATTCAAGGAGTCTGACTCTCAAGCGCGTGTCCTTAGCCACCATGCTCTGCAGTTCCTCAAGCAATCTTTCCAGATGCTGAAACGTTTCTCCCACCCCAGAAGGAAAGGGAACTCACAGACAGAGCAGTTAGAGCCGTTTTACCCACGAAACACTGGTGTTCTCCCAAACCTAACAGGGGCTGGGGAAAGGCGGTGGGATGTACTACTACTTCCTTCCAGACATCCATCTAGTGTTTGCTCTGTTTTTAAAAAGTGCAATATAACAACAAGGACAGCAGCAATTGGTTCCAATATGGTTTGGTTCCCCCATACACTCCAATTAGCATAACATTTTAATTTATTAATGATTTATGTAGAAGACTAATTTTAAAAATCTATACCAGTGCAAGGCACAAACCAAACTAAAATGAAAGTTCCACAAATCCGCCACACAAGCACACATTTGAATTCAGGCAGTGAAGGCTATACCTAAGTGTGCCATATGGCAATATAAGAGGAAGAAAAGAATTAGCTTATAGTCCTTTATATCACTTTTGACCTCTGCTACCATTTTTCTATCCCACCTCTGACTCTCTCTTCTTCCTTCCTGCTCACATGTGAATTGATCTAAGCAAAGAGTTTGATGGACATACACTTCCTTCACTAAGGGAGATCAAACATTTTACATATAAATCTACTTTATTATTAGATGTGAGCATTAACTTTCATTAGTAGATAGTGTGTGACTAGACTATTAAATGCAGAAAAATTCAAAGTCTGTTCTCACTCGAGGACTTCTGGAAGGAATTCCTAGTACTGCTGTGGCTCATTTCCACTCCCACTGCCCTCAGAAAGCACCATGTACAATCATCTGCTCTTCCACCTCCTCAGCCACATCACACCAAAGAGACATAAGCCTCCCTCTCTCCACAGGTTACTTCTCTCTCCACTTTCCTTCACATTCTCACCTTTAGAAAGAAAAAGGAGAACACCAGGGCACCATGACAAACAATGACATTCCGATGATGTAGTAAGACCCCTGTAAGCTGAGTGGACATGGTATGGGTGTAACATGGTACCCATGTGACCAAAGATAGCAGTTTTTGCACCATGGCAACACACTGCCCATCTTTCCCTCGAAGGCAGAGCAGTGACAATATTTCCCTTCAGTTTAAAAATGGGGGATGAAGACTAAGAACACCCATGCCTGGAGTTCAGCATTCCACTTAAGTAAAAGTTATATCCTGGATAATCAGACAAATACCCATTTGCATAAATGAGAGACTACAAAGTATATAGAATATGTAGTTGACTCAAGTGAAGAGGGTCTTTGGAGATAAAGTGATGCTGAAAAAAGTAAACCTTGGAAATCTATAATTTCATTGAAAATGTGTAGGGAGAACTAAAACATATTTAATGGGGTTCTTATTTGAAAAACGCTGTATCAATTAATCAGGCCAACATGTCAAAGCTATGTCACCTCCTGCTGTGTAACAAACAGCAAGTGAGTGGGGGTGGCAGCTTTGCATAAACAACCTCTGGACGGAGCCTGGAGCAGGTTATTTTATTGCTTCAATGTACACAATCCCGAGTTCACGCTCAACGAGGAGCAAACGGGGGAGCCACGTAGTGAGTTGTTGCTGGTAAGTGCTGTGGTGGTGTTTTCACATG